TGTATCATGCAGCTGCACACACCCGCTTGCCTTTTTTTCCATAGCCCTATCAGCTTTCAATGAGAACTCTTTAGGAACATTTTATTTATTATTTGTTTTCCCTTTCTTTTTTTTTTTTTTTTTTTTTTTTTGTGCCTTGAACGCCTTTTTCAATTTTATGAAATATTCAGGCAATCAAAGCGATTGAAATACAAAATATAAAGCTACAGCTGGCTTTGCAGCTTTATTAAAAATAAACAACAGATAGAAATATTTACAGATACATATATATGTATTGTATATATATGTACATATATAAAATACAAAGAGCCGACTATTGTTATTGCTCTGTTCAATGTCAAATGGCAACACGAATCTATTTAATTTGCACAACTGGCAGGAAAAATAAAAGTTTTAGGCCTTAGTTAAAAATTATAACGCCATTGTATGCACACAGCTCGCTGGTTCGCTCGCAGTTTCGCCTCCCCGAAAACTAAACTTTGCCGCAAAACTTTGCGATGTGTGAAGCCGGAGCGAAAGCCAAAGCCAAAGCCAAGTTGCTTAGCAGCGGATTTTTACACTTCTGGATGCCGGCGCATTCGCTTGTCGTCCTTGAATGGCTTCAGTTTCAAGCAGGAAGTGTTTACATATGCGCATAAAGATGCTAAGAATACACACACACATGCACACACGCACACACACACGCACAGCGCTGAACAACTTTGAGTTGAGCCAAAGTTAGTTTCGTTTCATTATATAGTAAATCACGATTGCAGACTGTGGAAATAATTTACGCTCAGTTGGCTTGAACCAAAGATCTCTGCTCAGGCAACAAACATGAGCAAGGCGAAGAGAGTGGCAGAGCGGGAGAGGGACAGAGTGAGAGAGTCAGCTACACAGAGAAAGAGAGGGCTGGCTTGCTTACGCTGTCTGCGTTAATCCTGCTTGAAAGTTATGTGTCTTAAATGGATTTAGCTAAACTGAATTTGATTTGCGCAAATGCCAAATGAAAGGCCAAACATATTCTTAAAGATTTGATTGTAAGCTGCAACATGTATGAAGCTGGGAATGATTGGCATTTTCATGCATTTTCAATAGGTATGCCAGATTTATTTTCCTTAATTTAATCATGCTCATTATGATTGCGGTTCGCTTTTCATATACCGACAGAACTTAATGTTTCTCTCAAGGCTTTTCTTCTTGTGCCTCCTGTTTAGCTTTAAAAACGACGATGCCGAAACAATTAAAGTTTACCTAGTTATGTACAATATTTTAATTAATATTAATATTTCAAAAATATGTACACTATATTTAATAATTCTTTTACACCTATTACATAAAACCTAAAAAAAAATTGATTTCCTAAATCTAAAGTGTATTTTTGATATATTTTAAAGTGCAGCTAAAACTCAATTCGCATGCTATTCTAGCTAATGTTATTAATTTTAATAAATTACTATTTTACTAATATTTGTCATGCTCGATTTGCGTAGTTCGTTAATGGCAAAGTGCTCAGAAAATCGCATGCATGTTCGCATAATTTATGTAAAATTCGCGTGTGGTGTCATAATTATTTGTTGGTATTACTCGAATTTATGCAGTCAAAGGGCAGCTGCGACAGGCGCACTGGCCCACGTCCAGCTGCTCGACTAATAGATTACGCTATCCGATAATTGATTACAAATAAACACACACACATACACAAAAGCATATATATATACATACAAAGAGTTGGCTAACTATGTATATATTTGTTTAGGCCGGAAAAATCATAAAGGGGTGAACCTTGAATCGTGCTGGAACCTGAGTCTCAGGTCTACGCCTGACCCACCCTAACTGCGTGGCTTGTCTGTTTTTTTGTTTGACCAGGTGCTAGAGTTCCGGACTCCGCTTAGAGGGTGAAAGAGTGTGTGTGAGAGAGAGAGAGAGAGAGAGAGAGACCCGCACTGCACTGCACTTCTCGCTAAGCAAAATGCACTTCAGAAAATCAACAAACTTTGAGCAATATAAATCTTTATTAGCTTCATTTGTGGGCAGAGCGACAATCAATTAGACAATGTCATTTGCCCTGTCAGTCTCGGCACGCTCGACTTAAACTAAGCAGCTTTGCCATGCACTGGCCACGGACTCTTGGCTATGGGACACTCAAGCGAACTGCCCTTGTAATGAGCTTTACGTGCTGTCTCTTTCTCTCTCATTCTCAATCTTTTTCTATTTATTTAATTCACTCTTGAATAGTGCGAGTTTTCATCTCGCACATGTCGAATGGGTCATTCGAACATTTAAAAAGCCAACAGAATTTTAAGTACACAAAAAGGAAAGCTTCATTGATATAGACATATTGACATATGGGTGGATCTGATAAAGAGCTCTTTATAATTGGCAAGCGATAAGTTTTTGTACTTGAGGGAGACACAATACTATAAAGTAATAGTAGCAGGAAGGAAATTAACAAAAGGGGGAGAAAGTAAGAGAAAGACCTTCATGTAACGTGATCATGAGAGTTAGAGAAAAGATAGAGATGAGAGAGAAAAATATAGAAAATAAAATAGAAACAGAGTGAAATATTGACAGAAAGAGAAAAATAAATATAAAGGAAAGAATGGTAAGGAAAGAGAGGACAGGTTATAAATTAAAGTGAAAGAGAGAGGTTGTAATGAAAAAAGTTGGGGAGCATATTGATAGAGACGAGAAGAAGCAACAGAAGAGACAGAGGGAAGGATAGAATGCGAGGAAGTAGAATGTAGAGCTAGAGAGGGTGAGAGAAAGTTAGAGAGAGAGAGAGGGAGAGAGAGAGAGAGAGAGAATGGTAACATCCTTATATAATTATATATGTGATTGGATTCTTTCTCGCCCTAATGAGAATCGCATAGAGGAGCAGTGTTTATTAAATTCCTAAATATGTGGTATAAAATGTCCAGGAAAAAATAAATATATTCATATTTATTCATACATAAAGCACAAATATATTAATTAACTTATATTTAACTAAATTTATATTTAAAATTTAATCAACTGAATTTCTCTGTAATAAACCTAAACAAAAATTGTATTTATTATATATAGACGATGCCAATATAATTAGTAAAAATATAAATAATCTATTATTTACATATTAGTCAATATGAGTAAATATAAAAAGGAAATATTTGCTTGATTTAAATAAATTTGTAAATAAATACTAAAAATAAATATTTAAAGTAAAATTGATCTCAATAAGGTTTCAGACATTCCAGAGCATTTGGGAATTGCGCTGGCTAACTGTAGTCGCCAGCTGCTTTGGTGGACTGGGCCAATCTATTAAATTGGTAGCAACAGCGTTGGCCATTTTATAATTTATCAAAATGAGAATTGATGCGCAGTGCATGGGAGCTCGAGGTATTTGTCGTTGGCTTGCAGCGACACAAAGCCAGACACTGAAAGGCAGCATGCCATTCACATGCTTCACTCAACCTGTGCTGGCACAGGAGTTGGCGCTGGAGGCGCAGTGCCAAGGGAGCAAGTGGCCGCATGCCACGCGAGATGCCATCGTAAATACCAAAAATGCTTTGGCAAATATTTAGCTGCACTCTTAGTGACACGCGCGCGTGCTTGGCCCACCTCAAGGAGCGAGGGCTCCGATTGCCTTGATGCGCCAAAGTGCTTTAAACTTGCCTGCATTGGCTCTTTGTTGTGCGGCTATTATTGGCTAAGGAGAAAGGGAGAGGAAGACAGAGAGAGAGGGAGAGAGAGAGAGAGGAAAACCCATTCGTGACTGCTTCCTTGCATTATTTACGCTTGCATTTTCATTTCAAGCCCTGTAAATAGCATTAAAAATAATTTTTGCAGCTTAAAAAGCATTACACGCAGCGCTGACAGGCGACGGCTTATGCACTTAATGAAATGTACACGGCAATTGTATTGCCAAGGCAAAGAGGACACACAAAGAGAAAGAGAGACAGAGACAGAGAGAGAGAGAGAGAGAGAAGCTGCATGAAGATTGCCATGTCTACGGCTCTGACTTGGCTATAAACTGGGCCAACTTAAATTCCATTTCGCACATGTTGCAGCCACGCGAATCCATATTAAAGGCTTTTGGCCATTGCGCACTCTACGTGCGGGCCGGATTCGACAAGTGGCCAAAGGATACGTGCGTCGAGCGGGCATTGCGCCCATTAAGTGCCTGATTCTTTTGTGCTCGAATGTAATTTAAGCTTTTGCCACTTAAATAGCATCCCTCTCCCTCTCCCTCTCTCACTCTTTCTGTCTCTCGCTGTGGCTGGTATTTCACAAATATTCTCTCCATCACAATTTGCACTTGTTAGCTGAACATATTTAATGAATTAATTGCAATTGCCTCGATTGTGTTTGCCAAGTGAGATTATTAGTGTAATTTTATGCAGTTGATTACATTATATTTATCGGAATGGCAAACTCTCGAATATCTAATCTCAATGCGCAGCGAAGCGATTTGGAGAAATTATCTAATCAAGCCCACAATAATAATAATAATAATAATAATAGTACTAATACTAATAATGGAAGCTCAGCTTAGAGCACATTTTATTGCTAATTGAATTATTATGCGCAATTGTTTTAAACGACTCGATGGAAATTACAGTTAACGAGACCAAAATGCCATTCGGCATCTCTAGCCAGAAATAATATTTAAGTGGCAGGAGATGCGGTTGCCACAATAAATCAAAATTAATTTATCTGCATAGCCAACGACCAAAAAAGGAATTTTCAATTACGCTGCACTGCACACACACACACACACTCACACAGACAAAACAAAATGCCGAAATTAGTTATTAAACAAACTTTGGAACAGTCAATGTAATGGAAGCTATCAGGCCAGGACCAGGACGACAACAGGAAGCAACTGGCCAAGCCAAGACGTAATTAAATATTCAGCCTGCCAGTGCAGGAAGAGACATAGACAGAGATGGAGATAGTGACAGAGAGAGAGAGTGAGATAGATGTCAAAACAATTGGCATCAACTGTTGGCCAACGGGACAAAGCAGCTCGTGCTAATCTCAAGCTCAGTTCCGGTCTTGAACGTAACAATTTTAATAGACATCGCTAGCAGACAATCTTAATTTGAACAAGTAGAACATCAAAATGCATTTAACAGTAAAATTCGATTCATGAGCCAAATGTGATGTGCAGCTAGACATATATATATATATACATATACACATAAATGCATACACATATACATACATATCCCATTTAGGTATATGGTTTAGGCCATTGCTTTGACTACTCTGCCGTGGGATGGTGGACTCCTGCAAATGGGGACGATGGATTTGCTTGGACCTCCGAATTGAGTCGACTGCCTTCGTTATTCTCGGCCGTCAGCTTTTGGTAGCACGGATGGTTTTTGTCGAAGCCCGGTTCCGGTTCGGGCGGCACATCGGTATCATCGTCCATAGTGCTCGGCTTGGTCGAGCCCACGGAGATATCGCTTTCGCCTGCCATATCTCCGCTGACCTCCATTTCGCCATGATCGCCGCACACCTCCTCAAAGCAGCTGTCGAGGGTGCGCACTGTCTCCGACTTTATGCTGATCTCCGAGCTGCTCATGTCACCGAATTCTTGGGCGATGAGGCGTCGCGCCAGCGGCACCGAGAGAAACTCCTTGTAATGGAGTTTGCGGCGACGCTCGAACTCCAGGCGACGCACCTTCTCGTCCACAGACTCGGGATAGTCCTCGTCGACGGACGAATCATCCGAATCGGCCTCGATGCCAAATGCCGGCGTCTCACTCTGTGAGGCCAGGCGCAGCTTACGCATCAGCGTCGTCGTGTCCAGATCATGCGGCAGGTCATCTTCGAAGACGAACGGCGTCTTCGGCTCGTCGATTATCATGTGGCCATAGTCCTTGTTCGCCGGATGAAAGGTCTCCAGCACATTCATCTCATCGAACTTGGCTGTCTTCAGCATGGCACTGTTGGTCATGGTGGTGGCGCCCTTCAAAATACCCCTTACGCTATCAGCTCCCTCCATATCTCTGTGACTAAATCTAATACTATAAAAAAAATATATATATACTATATGTATGTCTGGTGAAAATTCTTCAATAATATGAATTTTCCTTGAATTCTCTCTTTTTCCAGCAACTTCAATTCTGGTTTTTTTTTGGAATTTCAACAACGTGGCCTTGAAGCACAAAAATTGACAGCCAAGTCGACGACAAAATATGGTCTAGTTGGCGTTGCCAGACTGGCAACATGCCCATATCTTCAATCGACGGTGCGAATTAAATATAATATATACCGTTATACAACACTCAAATGAAGTAGGACAATAAGAGATTATAGGGAATAGCATTATGATTAATTATCAATAGGTATAAAGCTATCGATGACTATGAGGCTGTTGATAGCTGACGTGAGTGTAATGAATGGTGAATGGCCGAAGAGGAAGAAAAAGAAGGAGAGAAAAAGAAAGCGCAGAAGTTTATAAATATTAGTTGGGGAAATAATTTAAGTAAAGAACGAGTACAAGTACAATAGTTGTCAAAAAAAAAAAAAAATAANTTGATGTGTGTAAAGTTTTTGGCAGCTTCGATAGCAGGCTGCTTTGAATGCTGGCTGGGCTAACAGTTCTCCTCGATTTACGAAATTGCAGTTGCAATTGGATGGGATATAGGATGTGGGATATCTTATGCACTTACCGGAAGCCCCGGCCTGTATCCTGTATCACTAGCAACAATGTATAGGGAGCAGAGAACCTTTGGTTAGACACCGGCATCCGTTGTTGAAGGCGCAGGATGTGTGGCTCGAGCTACTTGCTACACAGACACAGAGCCACACACACACACACACACACACACACTCACACACACAGGGCCAGCCATATGCGTTCACGCAACTTTATGGCAATCATAAATTGCACTTGATTTTGGCTTTTCCGCAGCGCAATTTTTACGCAACACAATGCAGCTTCCGTTTGGCTTCGAGTCGTTCATATACAAGATATATATGTATATATATATATGTATTTGTAGGCGAAAGATGCTGAGCTGCTGGGCCGGGGCCACCCACAGAAAGCAATTGATATTAGCCTGGCTAGCGAAGCTCTTGGCCGGCGTCCAGCTGGGCAGGCCTTTTCTCGTTTGGCAGCGGCGTTATGCATATTTATTAAAAACTGTCTGCTGCGATTAAAAGCCAATCAGGCCAATTGCGAATTCCTTTTATTGGCCCTACAGCTTTATAAATATTTAAAATTTAATTTCGAGCACCACAGCGCGTATACTTGATGCTGCTGTGGCGGTTCGAATACATTTTTCTGCAGCTAGATTAAAATTTGTGTATATGGGAGTAACTGTGTGTGTGTGTGTGAGTGTGCATTTCTGCATCTGCGTGTGTGTGTGTATTTGTTTGTGCGCCAGGTGCCTCGCGCTTCGCCTCGGCTTTGGCTCTGCCGTGCAATCGAAGCGTGAAACGTTGAAGCTCAGCAGACTCTCGCAAAAGGCAAACACGTTGAGCGCAAATGTAGCGCGTTTCCTTTTTGGCTTTTACGCTACACTCCCAACCGGTACAAGGACCACAGCCCACAGCCCACAGTCCGCAGTCCGCAGCCCACAGTCAGCCGCAGTGCCATCTCGTTGCCCAAAGCCCCAAATAGTACCACTTATGTGTGTGTTTGTGTGTGTGTGTGTGTGTGGGTGGCAGTTAGCTAGCGCTTGACAGCTTGGCAAACAGTTAAATAAAGTTGGCAGCTTTCCCGCTTGTGGTCGGGCCCCACTGTTATCCCAGCCCCACATATGAGGAGTATGAGTAGTTAATACCGAATGTTGAGCATTTCGCATTTCGCATTTGGCGTTCCGCCCTTCGCCCTTCACCCATCGCACTTCCTATTTCAGCTTCATCGCGAAATTTACCAATATCTAATTGAGGCTTTATTTTAATCTAGCCGCTCTCGATTACAGCGCATTGGCAAGTCCCGCTAACCGAACATCATTTTAAGTACATCATCGTTGCGCTTCAATGACCTGGTCAGAATAATTAGTTTTCCAAGTCAATTTGATTTTCTGCTTCGAATCGCAAGCTTAACTCAAATGCAATTTCAAACGTGTAAACAAGCGTCGCCGCTGCCAATTTTGCCAATCTATCAACAACATGCGATATGTCAACACGAATTTTCAAATTTATCCCAACTCGAAAGGGACAAATTTTTTGTTAAAACATGCTCTACTTTCTATCCCTTTGAAACAGTGAATGTGCTATTAATAACAATTGATATTGGGGATTTTTTTTTATATCATTTTGTGTTTCAGTTTAAGTTGGAAAGTAAGATATTTTATTTTTTAATGTTATATATTTTTGCCAGGTCTTCCTTTGCAACTACAACCATGAAATGAGATAATTAGCCCCAATTGTCAGTGCTTAAATCTTAAATTAGTTTTAATTTTATATTAATTCAAATCTCTAATAATTAAATAATTATTTATAAACATTCATAGATTTATGTATATAAGCTTAAGAATATTAATAATAATTTTTACATGAAACTCTCTTTTAATGAAATGATCAATTAGTATTGCAAATTTCAACATCTATATATAAGCTTGTATACTTAAATCTATGAACCAATTGGTTTTTTTTTTGTTTTTTTTTTTTTTTTGGTTTTTTTTTTTTTATATTATTTATGAACCAATTTGTATTGAATATTTCAACAGCTATATATCGTCAATATCCTCAACAGATGCTGAGTTGTAATTGTACTACTCTTACTGGGTCAACCAAAGTGAAGTCTCGAAAAATATTAGCCCAATGTGAATATNAAATAGGAAAAAAAAAAATTAATTAAGAATAATAATAATGAAATAAAACTAATTTAACAATTTTAGCTAGAGTTGTTACGAACCAGCACCGGCTTATTGGCCTAATAGTTATGATTATGACTGACCTTCAGTTAAAGAATTCTGCACAAGATGGAGACAGTATCCACCATCCATATAAGAATAATAAAAATTGAATTGAAGGGATTGAAGATATGATCTTTAAGAATGTATGAGATGTATTTCTACAACTGAAGGGTATTACATTTTTTCGCCAAGCTTAATTTGCGCTTTATATAGAGGGACCTACCAAAAAATGCAGGTCTCTAGCTCTTATAGACTCCTTTTAGATATATACGGAATGCACGACAAAGGTACGGCTGGACAGGTGAACCATCTGAGCTGAATTGTCTCAAATTATCGTTCTGATGAAGAATTTGCTTACTTTATGGAGTCTGCCACGCCCATTGCTGCCTTTTACCTATTCGAAACCCACAAAAGGATATCAGGTTACCACTATACGAAATTGTGGATAACTCTTCAATGTTGCGTTCATTTTCTCTGTGTTCCTCACTCTCACCTCTCTGACTCTATCTCTCTCTCTCTCTCGCTCTCTCTCTCTCTCTCTCTCTCCCTTCTTCCGACTACGCTTAATGAAGCACTTCGGTCCACCTAGTTGTTGACTGCAATCATGAGGACCGCAAAGTAAACTCATTTTGACGTGTTCATCGTGTGTGGGCTGCGCTGTGGAGATGGCGAGTGGATAGCGAATGCGTTGGAGCAGCGATTTATTGATCCATGCGATTGTTGATATTGATGTAAACATATTCATCATGCCGCACAAAGCTGTATCACTGGCTGGCAAACTCTATTGCGAATTGATTGCAGCGCATTATTTCACAATTTTGCCAGCAAATAAACAAAGTTGAATGGAGCAGGCCGGAACTGGCAGCCAGTCACGGAGGCAAGCCCACATTGCGAGCTATTGCTGTTGCGAGCTGTGCTGCTTATCAGCTCAGTCAACGCGACAAGTTGCACGATAAAAGCAACGACAAGGATGCTGCTGATGCTGCTCCTGCTGCTGCCCCTGCTGCTGTTTCTACTACTCCTGCTGCTGCTGCTCCTGCTGCTGCTGATGTCGAGATTGATGTGTGTAAAGTTTTTGGCAGCTTCGATAGCAGGCTGCTTTGAATGCTGGCTGGGCTAACAGTTCTCCTCGATTTACGAAATTGCAGTTGCAATTGGATGGGATATAGGATGTGGGATATCTTATGCACTTACCGGAAGCCCCGGCCTGTATCCTGTATCACTAGCAACAATGTATAGGGAGCAGAGAACCTTTGGTTAGACACCGGCATCCGTTGTTGAAGGCGCAGGATGTGTGGCTCGAGCTACTTGCTACACAGACACAGAGCCACACACACACACACACACACACACTCACACACACAGGGCCAGCCATATGCGTTCACGCAACTTTATGGCAATCATAAATTGCACTTGATTTTGGCTTTTCCGCAGCGCAATTTTTACGCAACACAATGCAGCTTCCGTTTGGCTTCGAGTCGTTCATATACAAGATATATATGTATATATATATATGTATTTGTAGGCGAAAGATGCTGAGCTGCTGGGCCGGGGCCACCCACAGAAAGCAATTGATATTAGCCTGGCTAGCGAAGCTCTTGGCCGGCGTCCAGCTGGGCAGGCCTTTTCTCGTTTGGCAGCGGCGTTATGCATATTTATTAAAAACTGTCTGCTGCGATTAAAAGCCAATCAGGCCAATTGCGAATTCCTTTTATTGGCCCTACAGCTTTATAAATATTTAAAATTTAATTT